GGGGTAGGAAGCAGCACAGCGGGCCTCGGCAGGGCCCACGGAGGGGGTGCGCCAGGCTCAGCTCGGGGCAGCAGCCCAGCCCTGCGCCCAGCGCCACAGCCGGCCCCTCCGTGGCCCTGCCCGTGGCCCCCAGCCACTCGCTTCTGTCCCGCACCCCATCCCCGTGCAGGGCCACCAGGCACCATGCCAGACTCAGCACCTCATCCCCTGATGGCCCTGGGACAGGGAGAGGCTGAGGGGATGCCACAAGGGTCCCCATGAGGGTCTGGACCCCATCAGGGGCCACACGGTGCAGGGCCACACGGCGGACGTGGCGGAGGAAGAGGAGGGCAAGAGGGGCCTCAGTGAGGAAGGTCTGGAGGAGGCTACGGAGGCGCTCAGGATCGGAGACCCCTGCAGCGATTCCCGAGGGTTGCCGGCGAAGTGGGAAGCGGAAGAGGGTGCCCTGGGCAGAGCCACGGTGCTGTCCCACAGCTTCCAGCCCAGCCCAGAAGGGCTCAAAAAGGCCAGGAAGGTCTTGGGCTGCAGAGATGTCCCAGCGGGCACCGGCACCTGTCAGCACCCGGCATTCGGGGTCCAGCACCCCCAGGGATGGGGGGCTCAGCACACCTGGCAGGTCTGAGGACATGGGAACCATGAGGCCACAGCGATGGCATGGACACCACTGCCTACCCAGATCATCCAAACCCATCAGGGGCCCACGTGCCCACCCACTACCCTCAAGTTCAACCCCGCAGTGCCTCCTGTGATCCCAAGCTGAATCCCAATTCATCAGTCCTCCCTCAGTTTACCCCTGCAGCCCTGCCCTCCATTGCCACCCACCCTCTCTGTGGCCTCCTGGTGCTCCAGTCTTCCTCACTTCAGGCACAGCACTCCATTTTGCCACCCCTCCCGTCTGCTCCCCCTCCCCCAACAAGTTCTCCCCAGCACGTGTAGTTCAGTGCCTCCAGTACAACCCCTGTCCCCAGTTGAATTCCCGTTGAGGCCCCCAGTGCCACCTACCGGTGAGATGGTAGACAGAGGTGAAGCCCAGGCCGAAGCGTCCCACCGTGCTGGGGTCCTCCCGCTTGTGCGACACCCCTGGGCGCATGAGCCCCGTCCAGTCCCGTGGGGACATCAGGGCGTCATTGTAGGCCAGGAGGGCTGGGCCTGGGGCGTCGGGACCATGGGTTAGGGGAGACTTGGGACGTGTAGGGGGGATTGCAACCCACACTCAGTGTCCCCACAATCTCAGTCCCCCCTCCAGTCCCACAAAATCCCCCTCAGTGCCCCCAGTACCACTGAGTCCTCCCAGTACCATCAGTGCCCACAGCACATCACAGAACACCTCATTGTTTCCAGTTTCCCTGGTTCACTCTGATCCCTCTTCAGTTCTTCATAAGTATCCCCCAATCCCTCCCAGTATCTGCCAGTGCCACCCGTTTGCTTCACCCAGTCTCTCCTAGTGCCCGTAGCGCCTCTCACCCTGAGTGCCCTCCAGTCCTCCTCTGGTGACGTCAAACTCCCGCTCGTCGGACACAAACACAACCTCTTTAGCGCCAGCATCGTCCGCGTTCTGCACCAGCTCCTGGGTTCAGGGATCAGTGCCTGGACACCGGGGTCCCCCCAGCCCCCAGAGAAAACCACCAACCCGTTCTCCCAGCTGGCCAGCAAGGTCCAGGGGCTGGTGCTGGGCAAGGACCACCACCCACCTCAGTTGCCCTGCGGTCTGTCTGCCCAGCTGGGCAAGAGAGCCCCAATGGTGGGGTTCCCTGGGGGTCTCACCTTGAGGATCTGCCCCCCGTCGGGGTACTTCTGCAGGATGTTGTGCAGGTAGTCAAGGAAGATGGGAGCCTGCTGGCAGAAGGCCTCCCTGCAAAGCAGAGAGAAGGGTCGGAGGGGGGGGCAGGGGGGGCTGGCCCCCATGGATAAGCAGGACCCCCATGTCCTCCTCAGATCCCCCAAGATGCCCCCCTCCTTGTGGGGTCAAGAACGCTATCAACTCCCAGGACCCACTGAAACCACAACCTCCAAGGTCCCC